TGTGTGTGTGTGTGTGTGTGTGGTCTCTTGTTTTCATGTGGGGCAAGGTTTCCATAGAGACTAGGCCGGCTAATCCGACGAGCTGTGCAAGACGGAGAGAGCAGCTCTGAAGTGTTCGGCTTTGCGGTGGCTTCTAAAAGCTCCCTGCCTCTCAGCGCCTTAGTCTTCATTACCTCCACATCCCCTTTTGATTGGACGCGTTTATCCTGAGTACCTCGGGTTTGTGAGGGGAACCATAACCGCCACATACCCCCACCCTGCGCAGCCAACATCAAACACTCCCTCCCTGCATCTTTCACGTTGTCATAGCAACCCCTTGCAGCATCATTTTTTTTTTGGTAAACATAAAACTCCACGTTCCGCCATGTTTTGAATACAGTTGTTTCAAAACTGTGTTAGTTTTCGACCAAATTCGGTGACACAAATGGTGGAAAGACTGCAGAAAAAAGAGTGTTTGTGACGTTTGGTTTGTGGGTGTCGAGTCTATGTAGAACAGAATTTTGCACACTCTTGACTGTGCTAAATGGCAGGAAGATTTGGCTCTCTGTGTGGTTTGGATAGTGCCAGTTTCTGTGATGCCTTGGCAAGAATTCACTCATTCTGTGATTGAAATAGAAAAATTAGCTGGGGGTCTTAAGCCCCTTAGCCAGTGCCAGTCAGTGCCCAGTGTGTTCTCATGCTTATCTGGAGTCAACTTGGTTATTCTAGTGGGGCAAGGGGGTTAAAATAAACGTAAATGCAAGGAAAAAACTTCCTTAAATAGTTTTGTGGAGGGGAATGAGACACATGAATACTCTTGAATTATACAGAAGAAAACATAAGAAGGCATAAAAACTCACATTACATGTTTGATTCCACTAAACATAACAAGGTGGCACAATTCTTTCTACACCATCTTTTAGTTTAACTTATTTTTTGCAATTTCTTGGCATGGAAACAAACTTCTGAGTGCTGCATGGTCATGTGGAGGTTAGAGTTTTGGCTTTGGGCGTGTTTGCCTGTTCTTCGAGTGTATGCGTGGATTCTCTCCAGGCACTCCAGCTTTCTCCCACAGTCCAAAAATATCCATGATCCAAAGTGCCCCAAAGAACCACTGTGAGTGTGTGTGGTTGTTTGTTTCTATGTGGTCCTGTGATGGACTGGTGACCTATCCCAGGTGTACTCTGTTCTATGTCCAATCACAACTGTTAAAGGTGCTTCCCCCCTTGCAATTCAGCTAGGAATTGGCAGTAATGAAACTGTAATGTTCGAACCAACTTCAGAGGGGATTTTGTTTTATTGTAAAAGCATTAGTATTACGTTTAGTTGAAACTATTTGATTTCAGGCTTCAGATTTGCTTTCATTCGAGTTGGCACAATGTGTAAATGACACATTACATATTGGACAGGAGAAAAATAGAGAACAATACGATACTTTTATGCTGTGAATAAGAACAGAAAAAGAGATATTTGTCTGCAACCACCTGAAGTTCTTTTCATGCATATTCATTGATTATCTTCGACTGGGCTGACTGTTTAAAGAAAGCATTGTTTATGATGAAAGTATAACCTAAAACGATGATAAATGCTGCATGAAAACTGAACCTCGTTCCCGCATTTTGGAATACAAAAGAAGTGGTTATATCATATCTTACCTTTTATGCAGGGATAAAAACAAAAGGATAATTTGCATTGTCAACATTTGTATATTAACTTTGTGAAAAAGGTTTTAAAAACATATCCTAAGGATACACTACAACAGTAGGACAGGACTATACACTATACTCCACTTCGGGATACACCCTGGACAGTCCACCAGTCCATCGCAGTACTTTAGTATCAGTGTGTCTTAAAATAAAGTTTTTGATCTCCAACAGTGCTGATGAGACCACTTTATACAACAATAGAACTATCTTTTTTGTTTCCTTTCTTTAGAACGAAGAAAATAATAAGACATATTGTCCAAGATAGCATACAGATTTTTCTGTGCTGCAACTGTTAACTTTCAGGAAAAACTGTTACAAAATCATACCATGAAGAGATTTAAAAGCGAGCATCTGCCCTTCGAAAATTTGTACTTCAAAGTAGACGCATACATATACGGTGGTATTTCCAGACGAGGGGAAATGCATTGGTCACCATTATCTTGTTCCCAAAAGGCTTGGCTTTCATCTTGACTCAGCATCCACTCTTTTTTTCCGCCAACTTTCTGCCAAATACACACATTCAAAATCACCTACTAAAAAGCTTTTCATCTTCTTCCGTCACGCCTTCCCCTGTTCTCTATGTAGAGTTACTTTGACCCGCATATCTTTAATTCCCTTCCAAATTCTTCAGCGCCTTATCTCCCCCACCCTCCCACCCCATTTTTTCCATTACGTTACTGCAAAGACTATCAAAACTTTTAAGGTTTTTAAGTGGCTATGTTTTTTTTGTTTTTTTTTAATCGCTGATGTAGACAGTTAGCATAATTAATTTGAGCATTTCAATTTCTGTTGTGTTTTTCTCACTGTCAGAAAGCTGTTAAGGTTGCTCAAAAGAGTGACATTAGCGACACTAAAGCATGGCAGATCCATCTGTGTAAGCTTAATTTAATTCCAAACTGATGATGATGATGATGAACCATAAAGTCTCTTTTCAACTCATGAAACTTCCCTCCAAGAAAACAAATATTATGTTGCAGTGCAGATTTATGGTGCACTAAAGTTATTTATTTGATATAAGTAAGTCCATTTTGAAGCTCAACAAACTATCCAATTCAGCCGCCAAGTCTGAATCAAAAATAAACCTTACATCCTCTGTGCTGTGCTATGTCCCAGTACTTTCTATGCATCCGCCATTCTATTTGATATCACTTATCTGGACTCCTTGGTCTCTCCTGGGATGTCCTGCCATGTGACATTCCCATTCGTGCAGGCCTCAATTTTTGCCTCTGGAGTTTATTGCGTTGTAGTTTTTGTGAAGATTTTTGGATTTTACAGTTTGCATTTTCCTAATAAGGTCAGAGTTTCTTAAAGGCAGATTTTGGAATTGTTGTCATCAGATTTTTCCAACAAAGCAACTTTTTACTATAAAAGGGTTGAAATGACAACCAAGAGAACAACAGTTTAATGTAAAAGTTCAACAAAATGTCTGGCAGTCCCGGACAAAAAAAAATCAAGTAAACTTTAGGGGAGCAAACCTCAAAATCTTGAAAGTTAGCAAGGAGTCTATAAACCAAGAAAAAAGAGGTGTCAAGCCACTGGACGAGGCGGTCATAAAGCATGAAGTCGATGAAGGGAACCAGCAGAGACATAAGAGGCGGACAAAGGAAATAAACCGCCATAAAACACAGGGAGCTATCAAGAAATGCAGAGCAGTGAGTGCAAGAAAACCTCAAAATGCAGCATGGAGACATAAGAATAAACCAGAATAACATAACCAATGCACAGAACATAAAAAAAACAACAGTGCATTGCTTTTTCAACACATCTCTATAGTTATGCTTGTTAATGAATGAAGATTGATTTAAACAATATCAAGACGCTGGGTATTATTTGAATTTTTAACAAATTTTTGTAGACGACACTCAAATTTCTCAGCGAGATGAGTTGGATACATAAGTTAAAAAAAATAAATTAAAAAAAATAAACAATTAGATAGGACCCGTTGGCATCCGGAAGCTGGTGGTGGGGTTGCAGAGATAGAAGATGCTTTAAACTTAGACATTTAAATACTTTTAAATTAGAAATTTAAAGGTAGAAGGATGAGGGGAATTTTTTAACAACCAGGATCAGACTGATTGGCTCCAAATCTAACTGGCAAACAGACCAGAGGAGTCACAACATATTGAAAATAAAGTGGACTTTACAGCACGGGCAAATGAAAGTGACAAAGCATTACAGGATGAAAAGCCCAGACTTCAGAGAATGAGGAAAGATGAAAGGGAACAGATCTTATTCATTAGAGTGATATTTAGCTTCGGTGCAAACAACACATCCTAATGCTAAGATAAGTACTGCTGATACATTTTAAACGTCTAAGCCATCTTATCTGGAAACTTCTCAAAAATAGATGTACAAATGTTCATAATGATGATGTATATGCATGTATAAGCATTACAAAAATGTAAGTGAGTTCAAAGTTTAGTGATAATTACCTGTGTTAAAAAAAAGTAATCACAGTGCCCACTTCTGATATAATGAGCATGCGGGCTTTTGAGTATATTTATACCCCAGAGTTTATCTCAGCCTTGTGAATGTCGACAACAAGCAAAGGAAAGATTTTTTTTACCTTCTAGGGTGACAGTGCCCAGCTACCACATCCCTGTCCTTAGCATTTACAGTGAATGTCTTAGATGCATGTAAACCCATCATCGTATCATCATCGTGGAAAGGTATACCAGATATCTTTTAAATAGAACCAATGAACTTGGCCTCAGAAATGCAAAAATCACCAATAATACTAACCATAAACCATTGAACAATGACGAGACAAACAAGACAAATTTTGATCTAATGTCCACATTCGTCTTCGCTCTTTTTCTCAGATTGCTTTTTCCTTTCAACACCTCTTCAATGCACAAACTACAACAACTCATCATGTGCGGATAATGTTTATGGACTTCAATTCAGCATTCAACACCAGAATCCCCTCCAGACTGGTTGCTAAACAGGACTAAACTCAGTGTTAATACCCAGGACAAGTACCGTTTTTTTATCAGCAGGCCTTCACTTTAACACCCCAGTGAAGAAAGCTTGAAGGTGTCTCTATTACCTCAGACGCCTTAGGGACTTCAAGCTCCCTCTCAAGGTGTTCAAGAACTTTTTACACCTGCACCACTGAGTGTGTTTTGGCTAGGAGCTTCACCATCTGGGGTCCGAGATGGGTGGTACGCTTGGCTGAGCGTACCATGAGAACCTCCCTCCACGACCTGGAGGACGTTTACTACAAACTATACGGGTTGAAAGCCAGGAAGATTCCCGGTAATCCCACCCAGCCAGGCCACGGACTGCTCTCCCTGCTGCAGTCAGGGCGGCATTACCGCTGCCTGGAGGCAGATACGGAGAGCATGAGGAGGAACTTCTTCCCCCAGGCTGTCCGCCTGCTGAACCCGAAACGACAGACTCAAAGCCAATACCAATAGCCAATACTTTCACTCGTGTATATACTGTATATACACAGTGGGGGAAATAAGTATTTGACCCCTTGCTGATTTTGCAGGTTTGCCCACTTACAAAGAAAGCAACGATCTATAACTTTAAACACATGTACATTCTAACAGTGAAAGACAGAATCCCAAAGAAAATTCCAGAAAATCACATCATATGAATTTATAAAAATCTGATGAGGAAAAATAGGCATTCTTTGTAACCTGCAAAATCAGCAAGGGGTCAAATACTTATTTCCCCCACTGTATATATATGTTATAAGAAAAATTAAATATAGTAGAAGAAAATTTAGAACAAATAATTTGTTTTTTTCTTAATTTCCTTCTACTAAATGTAATTATTTGTTATTATTAATATTATTAGTGTTTCAATGTGGAACAGATGTTTCTTTTTCTCTTCAGGGGTCCCTAAACTGTTGTTATGGTATTCATATTCTCCTTTTCCCGCCCTCTCAAACGAATCGGTCGATGCCACCCATTCTGAGTCAGAAGTTCCGCGAGATGTTTCTTCTTATTAAAAGGGCATTTGTTTTCTTACCACGGTCGCCTTGTTCTAGCTCAGGATGGGGGGATTGGATTGAAAAGAACATTTGGCGCAACCCACTGGCTTTTTTAAGCAGGAACCTGAATTGGGTGTGTTTTTGATTTTGATCCCTGAATGGGATTTTAATTGGCTTTAATTGTACTGTGTTTTTTAACTCAGGTGTGTAGAAGTAGGGAAAGCTCCTAAACCTGCAGGATATTGACCCTCGAGGCCTGGAGTTGACCACCCCTGCTCTAACCAGAAATCCTTATCTATTAAGTAAGACCTGTCGTGAAACTGCATAGATCCGTGTTTCCCAACCCTGTATCCTCAAGGCACACTGCCCAGCATGTTTCCCTGCTCCAGCACACCTGATTTAAATAAATGGGACAGCTTATTCCACTTTTTAAACTCCAAAGACAAATTCATTTGAATCTGGCACAGATGACCTTTAACATTTTTTCTTTAAACCCAAGAACCAGAACAGAATTGCAAAAAGAAATCTGCAATATTAGCGCATGATAACATGCAAACACCTCTGTTATGACAAACCGCTCCCCTATCTTTGGCAGCGAGTGTCAGTCTAACCCTAATCATATATTTTCATAATGTAAATATGGGATTCTCATTAGGATAAGGTCATCCTTACAAAATGATAATCGCTCCCTATCAACTGCTTTGTCATAAATTACGGGAGAACAGCCATGAAATGTCATTTCTGGCTGTCTCTATGGCTAAAGCCGTTATTAGTAATGCCGGTTAGCAAATGAAGCCTTCATGTAGTCCTTTAATTTTCTGGGGAGATAATACCAGTAAACTGAGAAGGAGACCAGAAAAAAAAAAGTAGAATTGCGGAAGTAAACATTCAAACGACTATCTAATTGTGCTAGCATTCCTGTGTGATACTGCTAGTGTACGATGTGAGCTTTTCATGCACACTAAGATTGTGACTGCATGAAAGGAACCCAAGCTTGTGTTTTAATTAGAGGTTGTAGTAGTCTTTTTTCTCTGAATCCTTGTATTCTTGATGGATAGTGGACTTGCCTTTGCTTTCATAGACACACGCTGCCAGATATAAAACTATAATGGAGCGAAAGACAATGGCACATGAGATAATTTCCGTCTAACCACACCCACATAGGCTCTAATTGCACTGCAAAGCATGTAAAGGAAAATCAGCAGCTTTGCAAAGCTGGACTGTCAAACCCGTGGAACACTGTGGCTCTGACAACTTTAATTGGTAGTTGTCGTGTATATCCCTGTCTTCATTAGCAGCCCGAGACTACCTGCTTCTCCTCCCACACACACACGTGCGCACACACACAAGTGCATCTTTTGGTGAAAAGGTCATTAGATGTGCTTGGTTTAATAGCAGATTGTCATCCACATCTGCCAGTGTTCCAGATATACTCGGAAAAAGAGAACTTGGAGGTATTTTCCTTCATTTAATTCAAATTTTGTGAATACCCACTCATGTGAAATGCCGGCGAGCTATAATTTTTTTGAATTACGTTGAAGTAATTACAAGTTCCACAACCGTGAGGAGTTCTTTCAACTTCCCTCAAACTCTAAAGTAATTTCCGCAAGATTGAGAGACCATTGCTTCCAGAGCCTGAAATAACAGACTTTCAATTCAGTTCTTGTATTTATGAATCACAACAAACGTCATCCCCAGGCGCTTCAAAGATACAATCCAGTTCAAGACAATTAGAGTCCAGTTCATTGTAATGGGATCATAATTATGTGGCAATAAATTAACATATTCACGTCTTTACATTATCGCTCAAGAGACTGCCACGAGTGTCAAATCTTCTGTGAAACTACTCTCTGCCAAACAAAGGAAAGCGTATCTGAAAACGGAACTAATTGCAAAACCGTATTTTACTTTCAAGTGCCATTCACTGCTTTTTCTATGTACAGCATATTCTAGGGTTACAGCCCAGACAACAATACATGACAAAATAAGGAATAAGAAAAATGAAAAAAAAAACTAACCAAGGGATTTTTTCTTTTGGAAGAAACTGACCAACGCTTTATTGAATTTCACAGAACAAGTGAGAGGATTACAGTAAGCAAGAATTTGCCACGCAAAGACAGAGCAGTGAAACACCATTAAATAGGGTATGGTCACAATAAGAAGAAAAAGTGTAAGCAACAGGAAAATACCTACATAAATACATATAAACCCAAGAAAATAAACACAATCATATTAATTAGAGACCCAACTTATCAACATATTAACACAACTAGTGGAATTAGTGAGTTAAGTAAAAAATCCTTAAGTAAAATCTTGAAGCTTTGAAAATGGTCTGATGGATGGAAATGTCATTTTTTATTCTAAAGTGTGCCAACATGAAGCAGCCATCAAAGAAGAAAGCTCCAAGATGAGCCTATAACCTCAGTGGCTTATCAATTTCCTCAGATTTCAGAAGAGTTGGGGGTCATCAGAATAACAATTCTTCCAGGAAAACATTTCTAAGCTATTTCCTACAGGAAACAAGCAATCAGAAAACAGAATTCTCTCATGGTCAGAACCATCTGGAACACCTTGACTAACTAAAAAAATACAACAAAAACACAGTTTTAAATAGTATTAAAGGGGATGGGACAGGATGCTTCCTACAAACAACTTTATGCTTAATTTCCTAATTTTTCACATTCGATTTAATCTTTGATTTATGTAGTAACTTGCGACCTGCCCAGGGTGAACTGGATTATGTGGGTATAGGAATTCTATGATTTAAAGTATATTTCTTTCAATGGAAGGTGATTCAATATCAAATTTGTTCTCAATAGCTTTGTTGTCAATAGCATTATCCTTTGAAACTGAGGTAGAGTGTTTGCAAATCTAGCTTGTGGTTATCTGCTTCTCGGCCGTCTAACCAGCATCTAACCAGCCTATCTGAACATTTTTCAGACATTATTATTCATCTATATTGGGAATAGCTTACTCCACCAACAGATCCTCCTCAGAGAAAGTCAGCAGTCACTCAGTTTGGGTCGATCCCACTTACCAAGATAAGAGTGTGTCTGGTTTTGACAGTCTAAAGTTGAGCCCTGTAAGCTCTGTCTTCGTTGAAGACAGCCACCCTAGGTGGTCGGAGAGAGGCAATGCATTATTGAGGAAGGGCTTAGGGGGGTAAGACTGGATTAGTCTGATATTAACCTCCAGAGGAAAAGAGACAGAGAAGAGGATGACATGATGAAGATCACCTCTAGCCATTTAAACTGCTTTAATTAAATCCTGGATGGAGAGGCCACCTCTCAGACTTAGAGGATGAGCAGAGGAGGGAAATGAAGAAAAGGGATGGAAATAAGAAAAAGGAGGAACAGTGGTGAAAGAGGCTGATTGGAGAAAGGGAAATAGGCAAAGAAAGACAAACGCTGAGACAAAAGGGGAGAATGTGTGTGCCTGTGCGTGTGCGCAAGTTCACTCGCAAAATCTCCTACTGTGATGAGGCGGACTAATGAGTTAGCCTTTTGCCATGCTGGTCACACATGTGTGAGGCTGACAGGGACCGGGGCAAACTGATAAATCAGCAGCAGAAATGAGATTTATAAAAACCCGATCTCCATCTCAACCTCCTGCCTCGCTCCCTAGGCAACCTGTCACCTTGCTATCTTCATCTACAGAACCTGAAGGGGCAGGCAACAAATGAATGCTAAATGTGTTAATATGCAAAAGTTAGCCCCCATGTTACATGTTACATGTTACATGTTGTATTAAGTTCATTGTGCTGACACTGAGAGGAGAACTAGACGGCATCTGTTGAGGTATATACCAGGAACTGTCAAAATACCCCCCCAAAAAGGGTTAAAACTAACAAAGTTTGGCGTTAATCTGTATAAAAATGTCATTCTGTTGTTATTTACCCCCCAGAGTAATTGTTCCATATGTTCTGAGGCAGTGCATATTAGTAAATGCTTTCAAGAGTTTTGTTTGAACATGGTATCAAACTAATACAATCTTTGATACGGCAGACAATTTATCAAACTGTGAGGTTTTTTGGTAATTGGCTTTCAATTCAAAATGCAATGATAACTTTATATAGCTTCTAGAATAAGTGGAACTTCCATCCATTATTACCACTTATTCCCTGATGGGGTCGCAGGGAGAACTGGAGCCAATCCCAGTGGTCAACTGGCAAGAGGCGGGGTACACCCTGGACAGTCCGCCAGTCCATCCCAGGGCCACACAGAGACACACAAGGACAAAAAACCACTCACACTCACACTCACTCCTAAGGGCAATTTGGAATCTCCAATCAACTTAACATGCAGGTTTTTGGACTGGGTCCCCTGGGACTCGAACCCAGAACCTTCTTGCTGGGAACCACCACGCCAACGTGCCGCCTCAAGTGGAACTTAAGTTTTAAATCTTTTTGTAGTTTTTTAGATAAAAGAAAATCTCATTGCATAATGTTTTCATGGCTTTTCAATTGATTTGCCTCTA